TAATATAATCATATATTCTGATTTATGCCAATATCGTATCACATATAATATGTATGATGAAAATCGATTAGTAAAGAGAAAGATAATTATTGGTACATTTGTTATACACATACACATACACATACACACACTACACGTGACGTTGCGTGCTTTCGTCTTTTCCGAGCGATATTGAACGGGGGTTGCCGTGACAGCGGAATGAAATAAAGAGCGCAAACTGTCAGCATCGGCGTGTCACGATCGTAATGGTCCGCGGCGATGATAGTGACACCGTCCATTCGATACCGAAGCGTGAAATTAACCCGGGCGCATTTCCCCCAGGTACTAGGACCGTAAGCTTATCTTCCGCGCGACATGCAATTCCATTTTTGCGAGCGAGCGTGCGGAGCGAGTTGTACCGCGTCCACGTTTTCGCTAGTTGTAAAATTTTAACTTGCCGCTGTGTGTTTGTAAAACATGCGGCTACACGAACACGTTTAAGTACGTTTTCCTTTTTGGATATCCGGAGCACAGAAATGCTCCGGCAGAATAAATAAAACGTCGAATAGAAATCGTGAGGTGCATTGTGAGTTTATTAATCGATATGGCAACAACAACTGCTACTCTCTGGAGATTATATTTTTCGTAGAATATTATGTTGCTGTTTTATTATCATTCTTATTTTTACGATGTGAGACGTGCAAACGTTTCTTATTTTAGAATTTATTGTACACCGCATCCGGGTGAGGGAATATCGTATTTTACTGCGGTTGTGTGCTTATAAAATATAATAGCTATAATACGCGTTCTTTCTATGCAGCCGCACGTACTTATAACTATGTGGTCCGATTATGTGACATGCTACGCAGATGCATACACGAACATACATACTTGTGACTGTAATGCAAATACAAAACCGCCGTTCTCTCTGGTGACCCATTGCAATATTATGCATTACCATTCGAAAACCGCAAACGATTATCTTATCTCCCGTTGAAGCGGCAAGCGTTGTTATATTATCTCTGGCGGGTGGAGTATGAGCCAGATCTCTGACCATCTTGAAAGAACAATCTTTTCACTGCATTCGTTGTAAATATACACGCCGGAACAAGCACTATTTTTTTTCCAAACAGTAAAATTATTTGTTTTTCTAATCTTTAGATAAAGCAGCTGTGGCGTTTGAATTTCTTATATCTCTCTTTATCTCTCTTTAATTTCAATAAAAAACATATGGTACTTGTACAAATGATATTTTGAGAAAGAGGAATCTCTTAAACGCTTTTGTGCTCGTTAAAAGTCCCATTATGGAGCACATAAAAGATAGAATTATGTAAATAATATATTGCATGCTTTGCATACATACCCTTTTTTCCGCCCCTCTCCATATATTCTCATTCATCTATTTTTTACTCGCGCGCACACACAACACACGCGTACGGCATCATCGTGACCGCCCTTTGAGTCCTTTGAGCTTCGCCGGGAGAGAGACAGAGAAAATGACAGAGATCGTGCGTCGAGTGCCGCAAATTGTTCATCCCGTCGCGCAAAAGTTTCAACGGGGCCGCTTCGCCGCGCCGTTTTGCGTTCTCGGGAGCTTTGACGTGTATTATGCGTTATCGCGTGCGTCATGGTTCGCGGAATATTCTCTACTCTAGTCGTTGACAGTTGTCGATGTTACATACGGTAGTTCGGAAGGCCACGTCGGAATTTCAGAGGGGCAAGTTTTATGGCAAAAGCACGTCCCGGACCCGCACGTTACGTTCTCTGCCTGTTTTATAGCTACGTATAGCTATAAAACCGTCGCCGCGTCGCGTGCATATGTATACATATATGTAGTATGCATTAATGCCGCGGTAGCCGTGGTACACATGCATTATCCAATAATCGTCGCGATGACGAAAGTTTCGCGTACAAACAAAGCGCGCGGCGGTATGCATTCGCGAGCAGTATCAGGGAACGTGTAAGTTCAGCAAACATCATTACGCCCGCGAGTCTGTAACGAATGTGAGACCGTGGGGTTTGTTAATTAAGAAGATACGTCAGCCCGCCGTGTTGTTTAATGCAATCTGTTCCCCGGGAAACCCTCGACAAACAGTCGGTCGTCCTCTTTCCGAGAGGTTCGCGCGTGAGAGGCGCACTTTAGCCGCAAGGATATGAGAGATCTGCGCGCGAAACTGAAAGGAATTTATTATCTATCCAATTAAGACGGATAATTATGCACGGTGTCCGTCGCGCCAGCGCGAGCTTGTTAGTCATATAATATATACGGGAATGTCATAAATATACGTGTTGAACTGTCAAAACCAGATATCAGAATTATATACTCCCTCGAATCTTATATTTTTAAAAACGCGAAGTCATAATTACAATAATTGCGAGTTTTTTTTTTAATTTAAAGCTTTCTTTTCTTTTCCATATTTGTTAAACTTATATCATTTTTGTATATATGTATTGCGTTGTAATGTTGCATTGCAATTTGCAACATTGCAATGTTGCTGCAATATAATCGCAATGATCTGTGCTGTATGGGAAATGTTAAATTATTTCTGATCATCATATGTTAAAGATCGATTTCAAAAGATCAAGCCTTTTCTAAATATTTAATATTTTTTAATGGGTGGAAAAAATACGACCCGAATCAAAATTCATTATGTTGCGTGTTAAGTGCTGTGTTATGTCGCGCGTCAATATCGCGTTAGATGCTTTCAGGGCAATTGTACAGGGCCAATATGAGCCTGAGGAAGGGAATGAACGCGAGTTATAAATGCGAGCTTGTCCCGTCGATCGCGACGTATATATGTTTTGGCAGTGTCAGCACACTGTAGTAACGTGACGAATTGTATGCATCCATTGCGACATGTACTGCGGAGACAATCCCGGGACGTCGCGGCGCCTGTCACACGCATGTCGCGTCATCGTTATGTATAATTATTCACGAGGTCTACATCTCCAAGATCTAGAACGCGGTAGATTAGATTCTGTCTATCAATTTCATCCGATAATATAATCCGCGTGCATACTGCTATCCCCATAGGTTACAGCTCTTCGTCGTATTAACTAACAATATTCCTGCTCATCCTGCTCCATAATTAAGATCATTATTTGTCATTCTCTTGATGGGCTAACTTTGATCCATTATTTCGTTTCTAATTCGATGAGAAGCTGTAGCCGCATCAAGATCGCTTTGCACTCTCTGCGTTTTTGAATATACATGATGAGGAATCTTGATCGCGTTACGTATTTATGATAAGTAATGATATGAATACATGATTCATAAGATTCTCTCTCTCTCTCTCTCTCTCTCTCTTTTGTGCATATTTCCTCCATCAATGATAAATTCGAAGCATACAAAAAACTAAATATTTGATCATTTGAGATCGAAAGGAATATATATATAAGAAGATATATATATAAGTAATTCCCATATTTTCGTAGAATAGAATTTCAAATAATCAGTTTTATATTGTGTCATAATAAAGATTGAGTGTAATTTATTAAAGTGATATCTAAAAAATATAACATAGAAAAGCAAAACAAGCTCATAGGAGGTATTTGCATTCAAGCTTTCGAAAACAAAATGTGTCATTATGCATACAGGAGCAGGTCAACGCTTTATATGAAGTAAATCGCTATGGACAAAGTGGGCTACACAGACACACATACACACACAGAGTTGTCGGCAATATTGTCGCCGTTATATTGTTAGTTTATTCAAGTGCGATTATTCACGAAGACGTATTCAGACTAGAGGAGAACGGGCGAACCGGATCTCGTCCGTTAGGTCTGTCTGGCTTGTCCCGACTGGCAAACCGAGAGCGAGATTACGACGCCATCCGCTTTTCTCCTTGCTGTCGCGCTGCTTACGCTGTCGGAAACACGGGACTTCCCGCGAAGACGTCACTATCCGAACGAATATCTGCGGCATGTTCTGAAAGCCACTTTCGCCGAAATGGGACGCACGTTCGAAAGTTGGCGAGGAGCACGCTCTCATCCGGAAATGTCGCAATGTCATACAAATACGGCGTACAAATGCGTTCGCCGGTCATAATGTTCGCCGGTTTTTGATGTTATAAACGTCCATTTGGACGCAATTCTCGATACAATTCTATCACTGCACTGTGGCAAAATTCTATTATTTTTTCTGCGCACATAATTAACGCAAATATCTTGTTACGATTTTTATAAACTTCAAACGAAGATTCTATTAAATATTGTGCGAAATTAATGTCCCATCTATCTTCACACATTATGTATAATATTTTATTTATCTGACTACATTTTTACACACGGTCTTATCGTAAATTAATGTTTTGGATAAGGAAAAGTCATTTTAGTAACAATGTCCTATTCGACAAATGCCCAACTTATCGAATAAAAGACAATACATCACCAAGTATTTTCGCGACGCGCGCTGGTATTAAAGATTTCCATTTGCGCGCCGACCTAAGAACTTAACGTCATTTCCTCGACCGGATTGTATTCTGCAGAAATGACAGACATGCTTTGCACGTACACACAGATGCAGTAGATGCACGGAGGCTTATGCAGACGCCCGCATTTATTACGTCGCGAGACACGGCGCGGCAGCTACAATCTCCGCTCACTGTGGTTTCGAATCAGAAACTCTCCGAGCTTCGAAGCGGGCTCGTAAAGAATCTAGGCGCACTTCGTTGCGCCCCTCGTCTCGTCCGCCCGCAGTTACCGCAGCTCGGCCTCGACAGAGATTTGTACATGTTATATCTCTGTGCCAGCACTCGCGAACCTCGCCGTGGAAAATGGTCCGCGAACGATTCTCGCCATTTTCGCGGTCTGCGATAAATTCTTGTTGTCCCCGTTGTTGATTTTGGTCGAAATATAATTGGAGACGGGTAGATTAAACCAATTAATACCGATCGCGGAATACAATCGATCGATTAAACCGCGCTCGTCTCAGTTTCCAATTTATTTTAATTTCCGACTTTAATTCCATTTCAGGGAGCACATTTGTCTCGTGTAACACCAGTCGCTCGTTTTTCTTGCAGGTTTACGAGATGTACGTGACGGGTTATCAGTTCAAAGTGCTATCGCCTGTATTTACGGGCCACTGGGGACTGCAGACCAGAAAGAGCAGGCCCGCCTGGCGCGAGCGTCAGAACAGTGCTAACAGGAAGCAGTTTGAGACATTCAAGAAGGAAGTATTCGCTCGTTACATGCGAGATCCGCTGAAGATGATGAAAAACGCTAACTGACGAAAGGTTCATCAAGGATCTCATTGAGTCGAAACTTTGCCACCGTCATTTATGTTCGTCCTTAGGCTCAACACATCGAAGAATCCAGAATAGAATTAGGCCTCTGACAATAGTCAGTGCTCACACCATTTAATGTAGTCGATAGATTCCAAGTGTTTCACGTGAGTCAACGAATAATTCGTCAAATAATATTCATACTTTATCTTTCGTTATTATTTTAAAGCGACACAATATTTCACGTGCAAATCTTATAATTCTCTCTGTCAAGAGAGAAACTTTAACTCCAATAATATTATTTATTATATAAATCGCTTAATATTTTTTTATTAATTGGTGTTTATTAATCGTAGTAAAAATTATCTTTGATTATCTATATACGCGTTTACGTAGAATTTATTGGAAATCTTTCACGAAGGATAGTTGATTTCATCCTTTGGACGGGAATAATGATGAAATCGTATTAAGCGACGGAGTGCTCCAGTATGCTCGAGAGAGCAGATGCCAGATCGAGTAACCGCGATTCACGCTACTTATCGAACCTTCCGGTTCATCGATTCCGCTAGGCGAAACCAACCGCGGAAACTCTTGTTACTTCTACTCACGATTCCCCAAAGTCATCAGAGACCGCGCCATACGGGATCGCGGAATAAATATCTTCTCGTGAGTTTCGCGGCACGTACTCGTGCACGAGGAGCGGGAAAATGCAGGCAGGGGATCTTAAGTGAGCGTACCTCGTTAGCTGTCTGGGGCTTAAGAGAGGGTGGCGTTTAAATCCAAAATCGATACTTCGCTTGACGCCGACATAGTGCCCCGAACGTAAAATAAATAAATAGTATAAACCATCGCCATCACGTATCGTTCTGGTTGCATAGAAGGATGCGAATTATTTTATATAGATATATAAAAAATGTCCTAAATTATAGATTCTTTTATCTGGACAGATTTCTTGACCAATATCGATTAAATCGATTTTTTTAACAACAAAAAATCGTAGAGCACATAGATAATTTTTTATAATAAGAACTTTACAAATTTTATAAATTAACTTTTAGAATGAAAATAGTTAATGAAAAATTTCAAGAAATTTATTTTAATTGAATTTTAATTCGACATTTGATTAAGATAAATGAATTTATACAAATCGAGAGAATTTAAATTGTCCAAAAAATTTATAGATTATGAAGGATATACGGAGAATTTTGGATACCGTATATAGTCAAAAATGGCAATATATGAAGGAATGAAAAATAATATCGCATTGTCAAAACGCGCTCTACAAGTCAAGGGATCGACGATATTTATGGCATCTAAGTCGTAATGTACGCGTTTCGTTTAACGATATAATGAGGTTGTTTCGTAAGATCTCATTGTCTTTACATTAATATAGCACCGTTATTTGTTTTACTTTATGAAATTACAGGGCAATTATGAGGCGAAATGTCCCGAGATTTGTATAAGGATGTAGTCTGCCTTTGCTCGCGCGTTGTATAAGCGCTCAATAGCGACAATGATTGCTCAAGAATATCACCATCGGTAACATTTCATCTGATTAATTCTTAGATAATATACTCTCACTTTTCCTTTTAACTGACATAATGCAGCCTTTTAGATATTTTTAACTTTTTTTTATATTTTATTATAAAAACGAAGTATTTTATCGAAAATTCCCATTTCATTATTTATGTTTAACAATGATTGCAAGAAGATGCGTAATATGTAAAAAAATATATCAGCTTTTTAGCTTACTTCGTAAAATTGTGATGATATTGTCGGTGCTGCCATTGTCAGTTAAAAGTTAAAACGTTAACATTTAATTTAAGGCACAGAGTTATCTTTATATTGTAATGTTTTTACTGATAGATGTAAAATATAGCGCGTAGACGGTGTTGTGAAATAATATAAAATGTAATAAAGAATTACGAGAATTATATACTGCTGTGCCTTTCTGATTCTCGCAATAAGTTCGTTGTGAGGAAGCGCAGTATTAAAAGACGTGAAAATAATTGCGAAGTTCTCTCCTTTTATTCCTTCCGACGTTTTACAAGAGACAATACAAAATTCCAAGTCAAATTTAAATAACTAAAATTAAAAAACTGATATTAAGTCGATATTAATATATGCAAATTAAAGGCTATACACATTTTTTTTTGCATTTTTATTATTTTTCAGATTTAATTATTCGTGACATATATATTTATCTTTTATATCTGTCATTAAACATTACGATAACAGAAAAATTAATTTTTACTTACTTAAATTAAAACAATTTTTTAAGGCTATACGGGACTTACAATGTAAATGATGTTACAAAATGACGAGCACCAAATCTCGTTTTACACACATCTATGTGTTATATTTCGTCTCGAAGACAATTGTATCTCTCTCGTATTATGCGGTATTGTTCCGTGGGATAACACTTTACTATTCCCATTCATTTCCTAATCTCGAGAGCTGCACGAATAATCCGATTAAATATTGCATGCGCTATTGCGCTCTGCTCGAACGCGTCAATCTTTTTTTTTCACGGCTATCTCAAGCGATCTCGCAAACGTTCGGCAGTTAACTTGAATCGCGAATGCTGACAATGGCCGACAGTAAAAAGTATACATAGAGAGACTTCACCGGATGTGGGGATGGAAATGCTAACGATCGGGCGGTTTCAGAGCACATTCCGACGCAGCTCTATAACGCCAGGTTGCGGCTTATAGCTACGTTTTATCATGTTACCGCAGTTGCATCGCGTGTCATAGGTGTCGACTTCAAGTGCATCGGGTCCTTCGAGTATACCGTAAAGAGATATCGACGGCACGTGCATTGAATATACAGAGCGGTACGAAAACACGCGAGTCATATCTTCGAGAATAGATTTTTCGACCAATTTGGGCAGTTGATTTTTCTTTAGTAAAAATATTGAGAGAATGGTCATTATCGAGCACTCAAAAAATTTTAATATTAGATATCTTAGTTAAAATTTTTTATTGCAAATTTTATCTGCAAAAATCTCTTCACTCTTGTGATGATTTTTATCTGGGAGTCATTAGCGTTCCGATATTTCTGTTAATAAAATATTGATTTGAACTTTTGTGAAATTTATTTCTAAGATATCACTCAATCTTTCTTTTGGAATATCCTGTGTACATAAATTATTCCATGGCTTTCTTTGGTTACACGCATTCTTTAGAAGCGCATTATCTGATAGTTCGTCTGTTCTTGATTTCTGTAATCGCATTTATTGAACCGTTTTGAAACAAGAGAAGGTACTATGCTTTGCGCGAAGTTTTTCTTTTTCATAAGTTCTCGCCCATCGGAAAACACGATGGAAATTTTCGTAGCTTACGTCAATGCACTCGATGACGTAACTTCACGTTTAAGCCCGAGATATAAACCGTTTTCTCGGCTTTTCCTCGCGATCGTTTCGGTTTAGTAAAGTTTGTTTACGACCATCGTGTCTCGTTATGCAAGATCGGAAAGGATGTGCGCGAGAAACCGTAGTCGCTACCGTCGATGTTGCTGTTATAGTCGTTATCGCTTCTGGTTGGACCAACGTATAGATTCGCTCTTCTGGTTGTTGTAAAGGATTACAGTGCGCGAGAAAGTACAAGTCCTTAAAGGAAAAAAATGTGGATTTATTTACGTCGCTGCGCATCAAACGCATAACGAAGAAAAAGATTTTACTACGTTCCACATAGTTCCGTTAACTTGGTATTCCCATCACAAGAATATTTGAATATATAGTATAATTAAATGTTAATTTATTGATATCGTTATTGTAATCTCGAATTTATTACTTCTACCAATTAACAAAAAATTGGTATTAAAGATGGCGATGCTGATTTAATATTATCCTAGCAGTCTCATTCCGAAAAACATTTATAGCAAATCATAAACAAAAAATATGTCAAAATTAATTGCTAATTAATTAGTCAAGATACTATAAAAGCATAAACGTAGAATATTATAACTATATAAAAGAAAAGTGATTACCAAAAATAAAAGAGAGAAGTAATATATAATATCAATTCAATATTAAATTGTTTCCAGAATTAATTCGACGAAAATATCTTGATTTCGAATTTATTGCTTGCGAAATAAGTTAAAAAAATAACGCTTTTATCACTACTAAAGTAAATTGTGTTACTGCAAAGATAAATTAAGCACTTAATTTTATAAATAATAATTTATAATTATAATTAAAATTATAAATTATTCATTTTATGATTGCTTTATTATCGCTTGATATTTTCCTAAGTCTCCTTCTTTTCTTTTATTAGTATTTTGCTGTTCTTTTATGACATATACTCGTGAAAACACGGTTAATTATGGTCGCGCGTGTACTAATCAAAATAAACGATTGCTCGGTGTTTTACATGAAACTCTTGATGTTAATCATACATGACATGCACTTTCTTTTACTCTATTGTGACAAGAGAACGCGAAAATCACGGTTACATGAAACTGTAATTTATGCAGCCACTGGAAAATTTCGTGATCGAATTCAGATAATTCTTGCTAACAAAATGGCACAAGTTATGATAATTTTGATATCTTTTTTTACAATACAAGTTTTAGAAAAAATGTTTGAATTAAAATTAAGAGATAATACTATGATGCATGAAAGATGCGATGGTTTTTGCTCACTCGGGTCTTACTGCGTGGATGACAACAAGATTACTGCATGTAACAATTTTACGCTATACATTGCAAAAAATCAATGTTATGTTATCTCTCAAAATTAATTACAATTAATACTAAAAAATAGCTAATGCAATCATTCTCTGCGATCATCGCAATTAATATCGAGTGTATGTAAAGTCGAGCGATTATCGTATTCGAATGACGCAGACAGCGAAAAACAAATAAGAGAGAAAGAAAGGACTCAGGGAGTCATCGGGGAGCAACTATAAAGTAAGTAAAAATTGTACTTTTGTTATATATTATTTATTTACGTAATATTTGTTATATATAAAATTAATTGTCTAATGTATCTTTGCGATAACACAGTTTAATCTTGCAGCGATATAAAACTTGGAATGTTTCCAATTATTTTTAAAATTTTGATAGCGATTAATTCTAAATTAATTCTAAAAAACAATTTGATATTAAGTTAATATTGTCAATTTCTCTCTTTTGTTTTGTTTTTAATCGCTCTTTATTTTTTTATAATTATATTCCATGCATCTATAATAATTTAATCTTTTGAAATTTTTTTACAATATCTTTATGCAATTAATTAATTTTGGTATATTTGTTTTTATTTATAATTTGCTATTCATATTTTTCAGAAGAGGTGTTATGTTAAATAAATAAGCTACTAAGAGGTGTATTGTTAAATTAATAAAAGCAATAAATTCAGGATTAGAGTGACAAATTAGCACATAATTAAGCCATATAAATTTGATTTCTCAAGATGGGAGTATCAGATTAACGAAAGCTATTAACGTACATATTCTCGAGTATACTTTGCCACTTATATGTACCAGAAATGTACTTAATCCTGGAGCGCATTTCTTGAAAGAGCACGCGTCGTACCACGGTTTAAGTATAATATATTCCGGCGTGAATGTTAAAGCTCTCGTTGTATATTCAACAACGTATATACAGGTTTATGCCGTTGCTCATTAATAATCATAAGAACACAGGAGCGTACTTCTAATTGCATGATATATCACCGTGATTAGAATTTAACGAATATTTAGTTTGATATGATAAAGTGAAGAGATCATTGACTTTCTGCAAAGCCGAACAATAAGAAATAAGATTAATTTTATATTTTTCGAAATTAGTCATTTGCGCCTCATCAAAAATTTTATTTTGTCATACAACACGTATTGTATTGAAATAAGAAAACTTTCTTGATTATTATTCTAGATATTAATGTGATTACAGAGTCTTATATAATTTTTCACGCTTTACATTTGTACTTTGGGCTTAAAAGATATTTCCTTCTCTTGCGCATTTTTATGTTACAATTTGGTCAGTATATTTTGCTCGGCTAAACGGTAATGACCTACACTTTCCATATCGTTGACTCATTTTAAGAATGGTTTAATTTTCTACGTTGCCGGCTATTTAGCTAGTCCTCGGCCAATTTGTACGGAGTAAAAAGATGTAGAATGATATGTGCTAATAAGAGGGATGCTACGGAGCACAAAGGACACAGGCAGGGCAGAAAATAGACAGCGTATGCTAACAAGTGCTAAATACAATGTAGGTGCACATACTATATGCATCTATGCAATATACCCACCGTACTTGACTAAATTATTAGATTCGTTCTCGCGACTCCTCGTCTCGTTTTTCCCATCTCGTCCGCAATCGAGATCCGAACGGTAACTCTTCTTTTTCCTCGAGCCGCGTATTTTCCTCTTATCCTAGTCTGGATTTTTCTATTAGACCTCCTCAAAGTGCTCGTCTAAAAAGTATGCAAAAAGCATCGCTGTATGGGAGAGAAAGTCTCACGCGGAGTATAGCAGTGATATTAAAACGAGTTTTGAAGCCGTTTACGCGTCAATCAGCTCGAAAGACGAGCAGTCATGTCATTTAGAATAGTGGCAGCGCGTAACTAGATTTACCGTTGTATTGACTACCAGTGTTATGTTCGCTTAATTTATCACAAAGAATTGATGTTATCGAATAATTTTAGAAAACGCTAATATGGAATGATTGCCAAATATTATCAAATACTGCATTAGATTTTATTTCCATAATTAGGAAAGAAATTAATAAAAAAAAAAAAAGAAAAGGTTAAATTTTATATATACTTTATTCTTAATTTATAACATTTTATTTATAAATATCAATATTTAGTTGCTAATTCAAATGACAGAAATTTTTTGTGATTTTGAGATATATTATCATCTTAATATTCAATATGCTTTATATTGTCGAGCAAAATGAATTGAAATCGATTCGGAGGAAATAGAGAA